CTTTATAGTGTTCACGAAGGAGGTCTCAATCTGCAGTAGTTTTGGTTACTCATTTTTCTTACCTTAAGTGGCTACCTCTCGTTAAAAAATATGAGATTGGATGAGTGGCTTTCTAGACTAACTCCCTCATTTTACAGAGGAAGAAACTGAGGCCAAGAGAAAATCAGTGGCTTGCCCAAGGCCATAGATATAGTAAGTGGCTGGGTCAGGGTTCAATCCCAGGTTCTTTGATTCCATGTTCCTTCTAACCCCACTTCAAGACCCGGCTCCCTAATCACTTCTTCCAGTGTAGTTACCCCCAATGACCACACCTCCATAACCAGAAGTGATCCCTTCCTCCTCTGAATTTTCATAGCATGCCATACCCCTTTTATATATATATGCTTATTACTTATTATTTTGTATTGTAATTATGCATACCTTTTCCCACACTTTATTCCTCCACGGAGTCCTTGAGAGTAGAAACTTTGCTTATTTAATTTCAAGCAAAGATTAGATGGTGACTTTGGATGTGTTAGTAAGTAAGCAAGTATTTATCAAGGACTTACTATGTTCTAGAAACTATGCTAAGTACTGGGGATATGAAGAAAATGAAATGCATGGTCCCTGCCCCCAAGAAGCTCACGTTCTAATGGGAGAGACAACATGCAAACACATATGTTCAAACAAGATAAATGCAGTGTAAATGGGAGATAATCTCAGGGAAAGGTACTTGGCAGGGGAGGGAGGGAGGTGTCCTTGGGATAGTGTTTTGCAGAAGGTGGGATTTGAATTGAGTTTTAAAGTAATTGAGAGAATCCAGGAGACAAAGGTGAGGAGAGGGAGTGTCTCAGGCTTGGAGGTCTGCCATTGTAAATCAGGGAGTAGGGAGGAGTGCATGTAATGAAGAACAGCAAGGCCAGTGTCTCTGGATTGCAGAGGTGAGTAAAGTGTAAAATAACTGGAAAGGTAAGAAGGGCTCAGGTTTTCGGGGCTTTAAAATTCAAAGAGAGGATTTTATATTTGATCCTAGAGGTAATAGAGAGACACTACTGAGTAGGGCAGTGACATAATCATACCTACAAATTAGGAAAATCAGTTTGGTAGCTGACTGGAGAATAGACTGGAATAGAGAGAGACTTGAGGCAGGGAGACCAGCTGGCTGGCCAGTGCCGTAATTTAGGTGTGAGGCAATGACGGTCAGCATCATGATGGCTGCTGTGTGAGTTGAGAGGAGAAGATATAGTCAGGGTTCTGATAACTTGGAGTAAAGAGTGATTTAGTTCACCCAGGAATGGCCCAATTGACAGTTAGGATATTTGTACTTTGTACAAAGCTGTCATAGGGACCCTAAAAAACCATCTGGGGCAAACCTCCATGTTACAGAAAAAAAAAATCTAGAGACACTTAAATGCAGGATGTGTCATAGGATCTTAGGCTGGAAGGGAACTTGGAGGACATTTGTCCAACCACCCCTCATTTTTCAGATGAGGAAACTGAGGCACAGAAAGGTTAAACAACTTGCCCAAGGTAGTTAGTGACAGATTCAGCAGGAATTTTTTACTTCTGGTCTGAGGCTCCTTCTAAGATACTCCTCTGCCTCTTATATATTGAAATGGCCATTGACAAATCCTAGCTTAACTATTTGAACCCTTGACTCCCAAGCACATACAAGAGTGCCTAACACTGTACATTTTTTTTAAAACTAGTAAAAAAAAAATGTTGTGGCAGAGTCATAAATAGAAGAAGAGCCCTCCCATTATCTCCCATTATCTTGCAAGGACTAATGTTTTCTCTGTCACTTAAGCCTCCTACAATACTAAGAAAAGAGGAATTTCTCATCAAAGCAAATCTAAATCCTTCACACATTAGCAGGAAATATTAAATGCAGGCCCTTGCCCTGCTTTGTGTAGATCAAAATGCAACACTACGTTTATCTTATTAATTGCTTATTAAGCATTTGTTTGGTGTGTTCTGTGATAATATTATGCCTTTGGTTATATTTTGTGTCTGTGACATCTATATAGACCATAAAGAACGAATTTGATAGTAGAAAATAAATCACACAGAACTCTAAACACTACAAGGCGGTAGGTGGTAGATGAGAGTCCAGGATTGGAGAGTAGTTGTTTTTTTTTTTTTTAATTCTTCACTGACTTGAGTGTTCCTTCCCCAGGTCTTCACACATTCCTCAAGTGTTTATCTTCCTCCCTTTGCTTGGCTCATTTTATGCATTTAGAACGTAAGCCTTGCAGTCAGAGACTATATCACGTTTACCATAAATGGCAGTGAAAATACCCAGAGCCCTAAGCAATGGGTGTATTTATATTGATGAAGTGAATAAGCAAATAATCTGTGTGATATTAAGCTGTTCTCTTCTAGGTTTCTGGTGATGATTCTGAAACACCAGAGTACAGTTTGAGAATGATTTATTTTTATAATACTCTTGGATCAGCAAAAAGGACATATATTAGGTAGTTGGAAAATGCTTATTTAGAAATTTGTGCTCCTCACTATCTGTCTGCATAGCTATGCATTGTGGACAATTTTATTCTTTTTTTTCCCCTTCTCCCTCTTTAGCTGAAATAGTGAATCCGAGTGTCTTCTTGGGTTTATGCTTGATTGTGAAAAAAGGAATGTGGCCACACCTTTAAAGCATGAATTCTTTGCTGCTCAGTAGCTGTGTGTCATTGGGCAAGTCTCTTGACCTCTGCAGGCCTCAGTTTCCTCACATGTAAAAAGATCAGATGAGCTAGAATATAATAGGATCAATGGTTTAACACTAGAAGGGAGCTCAGAGGCCATCTTATACCACCTCCTCATTTTATGGATGAGGACACATGACTTTGGTCAAGGTCAAAGGTAGTAAAATGGAAGAACCACATGTTGAATACAAGGCCTCTGATTTCAAATCAGATACTCTTTCCATTTTACCAGGCTGATCCCTTCTGGTTCTAAACATTATGATCCAAATTGAGACATTTGTTCTGATAATGATCAACCGACAGGTATTATTAAGTACCACCTACTCTATGGCAGGTACTGTCTTAGGCTCTGGAGATAGGAGTATAAATAATGAAGCTTATAAGGATCTTCCATTACAATAGGGAAAACAATAAGTAAATATAAAAATATATGGCATAAATACAAAATGGATAAATATAAATACATACAAGGTAGTTTGGGGCTGGGGTGGAATCCGGAAAGGATTCATCAGAAGATAATGTATGAGCTGTATTTTACAAGAAGAAAAAGCCTCTATGAGGCATAGGAAAGGAGGGAGTGAGTGCATTATGGCATTGAGGATAGCCAGTGCACAGGCATAGAGAATATCATAAGTGAGGAACAGAAAGAAGGCCAATTTGGCTGGATATAATATAGGAGGGAAAATAATATCCATTGACTCTAGAGGTTGGAGACTGGTTGTATAGAGTTCTAAAAACTAAACAAAGGAATTTCTACTTTATCCTAGAGACAACAGAAAGCCAATTGAGTTGACTTGAATAGGGGAGTCATATGGTCAGATAACTAGTATTAGTATAGTACTTTTAAGGTCTACAAAGCAGTTTGCCTATATGATCTCATTTGATCCCACACAAATCTGTGTTTAAGGAAAACTGCTTTTGCAACAGTGTGTAGGATGGACGGGAGGGTGGAAAGAACTTGAGGCAGAACAATTAAAAGGCTGATAATCTAGGTGAGAGGTCATGAGGGTCAGAACTGAAATGGGACTGGATGTAAAAGATATTGTGGAGTTAGAAACAGCAAGAACTGTCAACCTATTGGCTATGTGGGGTGAAGGAAAGTGAGGAATCTGGGAGAATGTCAAGGTTTCTAACCTGGGAGACAGGAAGAAAGGTCATGCCTTTGACTTAAATAGGAAAGTTTGGAAAAGAGGAAGGGTTGGGGGAAAAGATGATGAGTTCAATGAGTTCAATAAACTCTACTGAATTTAAGATGTCTTCAGGACATTCAGTTTGAAATGTCTAATAGTAATTGGTGATGCAGGACTGAAGCTCAGGGAAGAGATTGAGGCGAATGATAAATTATATTGATGTGACATATGGCATGATACAGGCAATATCCTTTCTGGGCTTTCTGTACCACAAGCTTCACATTGTTTGTGGTTGTACCCTGGGAAATAGATAGTGCTTCTTACTCTCAGGCAAAATAGGATTAGAAGAGAAATTGACTTTGAGAAAGGCCTGAACTTGAATATTTTGGAGGTTTTGAGAAGATGGAATTTGTTAAAAGATAAGATTGACACCAGGGGCAGCTAAGTGGCACAATGGATTGAGTGCCAGATCTGGAGTCAGGAAGACCTGAGTTCAAATCCAGCCTCAGACACTTTACTAGCTGTATGACCCTGAGTTAATCACTTAACCCTGTTTGCCTCAATTTCCTCATCTGTAAAATGAGCTGGAGAAGGAAATGGCAAACGATTCCAGTCTCTTTTCCAAGAAAATCCTAAATGGGGTCTTGAAGAGTTGGACACAGCAGAACAACAAAAATTGACACCATGAAGACTTTTTTATGGTGGAACTCGATATCTTGGAGAATCCCAACTCTATTTTATCATACTTCTTGGCTACTCTTGGAAGCCTTAACAAGGTCCTTCCTTCCTCCCAAATTCCAGCTTTCATGTTTACATAATAGTATCAAATATACAGGTGTTAGTAATGGTGAGGTAAGTGGTTTACACGTAAAGCATTTTTAAAGCTCTATAATTTTGCCTTCAGAGGCAGTATTTCTACAAGCTCAATGGGCTTGTTTTCTGGCTAATTATGCTGTATAATAATATATGTGTGTATATTATGTGTATAATAGTACAGTCATTTATTGAGACACATTGTACAGGTTACCTTGATTCAATGTTATTATCTAACTATTTCTGTTACTTATTCATCCTAAGTGGGTCCCTGGAACTTTTGGTTTAAACCATGTTTCTAGCTAATATTTAAAAACAATGACACTGTTTCTTTTTGAATTGTGGTGTTAAATATGTGCTTTTATTTGAACAGGTTCTGGGTCTCATCCAAAACATGAGTGTTTTCCAGTGTCCAAAATGTAAACATGAAACTCATATTTTTGGAGTTGATGGTGCAAAGAAACTAGCAAAAACCCTTGGTCTTGATGTTTTAGGTAAGAACAGTGTTTTGTTTTGTTTTGTTTTGAGAGAAAGCAGCATTAGAGTCTGGGGAGATATGGGAAATATCGATGTCTAAGGAAATATTAAAAGGCATTTGGTTCATGTTTTTAAATGAGAGCACTCTAGTGCTGATCTTTGTGATAACCTTTCATTAGCTTTTTAGAATACTGCCAGTAGAAGGCTTGTTATGAATTAGGATCGTAAGATACTAGGTTTAGAATTGAAAAGGACTTTAGAGACTGTCCAGTACAACCCCCATATTTTATAGATGAGTAACCTGAGGCTCACAAGTCACAAATTAAGTGACTTGTCAGTGTCACACATGTAATGAGTGAAAGTTGGGATTTGATCCCAGATTCTCTGACTCTGAATCTATTTCTCTTTCCCGTATAGCACACTGCCTCCTTTTAGTTGGGAAGTGTGCTTTGTCAACTATTATGATAATTGCCCTAATAGATTAAACAATTGGCAAACAAAGTACTTAATATGTGCCAGGCACCATGCTAAGCTCTGAGGATGCAAAGAAAGGCAAAAATATGGCCCCTGCTTTCAATGACTTCATTAATAAGAATTGGGGAGGCAACATGCAAATAATTGGGTATATACCCGATATATGCATTATAAATAGAAGGTAATCTCTAGTTTTAATTTGATAGAAGAGTTTTATGAGCTGCAGACTGTGATTTGGAAGACTACATATTCAGTTGGCAATCAGCAATTTGTGTGCCAATTTTGGGTCATATCTATCAATATAAATAGGTATATGTGAAAATGTTTATTCATTACATGGAAGGATATCCATTAAGATTCCATGTAAACTTTAGTTCTTGGTATATATCTAAAGACATTTATGTAAACATCATTACATTTGTTCTCTTTAGTTCAGAAAGTACAATTTGTTGCCTTCTGTGATTTTGCCATTTTTCTCTCATGTTTCTATAAGAAATCTACCTTAATATAATATTACAAATAGTTAGCTTTGAATTTAAGAATGAGTTAGCTTTAGAGGAACTAAATGTTGGTGTGTTAAATATGTTACAATGATGATTTCCTATAAAATGTTATATACCAAATTCCATATAACTTAATCCAATTTTAAAAACTGATTTAGGCATTGGTTTAATTATGAATGAATAACTAGGCAGAGGAAAATGTTGGGTAGCAGATAAAAGAGACAACGAGAGAGTGTTATTGAAATTATTAGCCGTTAGTACTTTTAAAAAAATTGTATTGTTAAGATCTCCCAGAGATCAAAGAATAGCGAAACAGTAATTGAATTTACCACAGATGGAGTTAAACGTTATTGTTGTGGTGCATTTGCTTCAGTACCTAGGTGAATATTAATGAAGTATTTCGATATATTACTATAATTATATCCAGTAATTATACTCTGTAACTGTTTTTCATGTAACTAACCTAAGAAGTTCAATTACCCAAATCTACATAATAACATAAGAGACTGACACATGTTTGTGAAGAAAAATAAATGCATAATTAGAAGGGCACTGTTAGCTTACATTAGCAATGTCACAGAATAAAGTGTACTGCAACAAATCTAAGAAAAATTCAGCTATATACCATGCATTGTGTCATACTTAGTGGTATCTGCCAAAGCCTACATTTTTTTTTTAACAAAATAAACATTTTCTTATTTAGGAAAGTCTGTAATTTTTAGAAGATGCATTTGTATATCATTTAGACTGTTACTTCATTGTTCATAACTCTTTTTATATTTCATATGAGGGTGCCAACTATGTTTCTAGTTTTTTCTCAATGCTTCCCCAACATTTGTGGAGTTAATTCCAAGGAATAGAGAGATGATCAGGGTACCCCTCCCACTGCCCATTCTCCAACATTTAGCAGGAAATACTCTTTAAACAGATGTTATATGTTAAGTGTTACCTTTTTGCCATTAAAAGTTTTTGGCAAAATCTGATGTAAAACTCAACATAATTCCCAGCAGAGTTTATCAAAGGGTATAAGTTATACCAGGCCAGTACAAAGAGTGAGAAAACTGTTAAGGCCCCGTAGGAGGTCTCTCTAGTTGACGAACTGAGAGAAATAATTATTAATAACTAATGATCTGGGGAGATCCAGAGTTCCCCCCTTTTTCTAAAGTCTTTATTTTGAAGCTTAGCTTCTAAGGGACAGGACTAATAGGATAAGAAATAGGATTAACATTCTCCTCAATTTGTATTGCTACCCCACTCATCCTTACAAGGATTTCATCTAACATGAAACTCCTTTGTCTTCATTGTCTTCTGTTCAGGCTAGGCTGGGAGATGTAGATGCTTTGTATCAATTTACCCCAAGCTGTGGGTGATTTGGAAGTAAATGACATAATCAAAGTTATAGCCTTTTTTCAAATAGGTTCACCTCTCATTGTAATATTCATTGTCTCTCATTGATTGTTGACCAGTCATAGTTGATTGCTATCTGCAGGAACTCCACTCTTCTAAGGGCATATAAACTGTGAGCCCACTGCCATGATTCCTCTTTGGCATTTGAGAATGTCACTAACCCTTTTATTAATAAAATGCTAGAATTATTAATAAAATTATTAATGACCCCAAAACTTTGTCTGTTGAATTTTTTAAACATCACAGAACATGCTTCTCCAGGCCTATAGAATCCCTGGCCCATCATCATCCTTTTCCATACTAAAAGCTAGACCAGTATCTGGTGAAGGTCATAGCAATGTGATTGCTGTTCTTTATACAGAAAAAAGGCTTGGTTGCTAATGTCACTCTTTATCAGTAAGGCCCCACTTTTCACGGATCCTTTAAATTTAAGAGCACTAATTGGCAAGGGGATATGTGCTTGATCTAATGGACAGTCTTTTCTGCCATTATGATTGGGTTTGTGGCATCTCAGCCTTGGTACACATTTACGACCATCATTGGCCTCAGAGGTAGGCATCTGCTGTCTAGTGTGAAAACCTATGATAACTTGGTTCTCATAACCTGTCAGTGGTGTCAGACTCAAATAGAACAGGGGCTCTTAAACCATAAATAAGGTTTTCTGTTGGCTACATATTGGCTTAGTTTTAAAATGTAATATTATCTATGTTTTATTGTATTTTTATTTATTTTGTTACATATTTCCCAATTATATTATAATCTGGTCTGGGTCAAACTTAAGAGCATTATGAGCCACCTGTTTGACACCTCTGACCTAAGTGGCATTGGCAAAGGATTGTTATTTTTGGGTGGGCAGTCTATTCAACATGGGTATCCTGAGAATAGCCTTGAACAACGATACTGGTATTGTAGAGTATAGGGCCAAAATCTTTTTCAAAAGTTATAAAGAAAAAAAACTTCAATTTTTAGCATGCAAACTTATGATGTTATGAGTGACTGTACTTCAGAAGAATCCTTTAACACAACATGAAAGCAAAAAGAATTACAATAAACCATACTTAATAAAAATTCCTTGAATTTAGAAAAGACATTTCCTTGAATAGGAATTGTACTTATAGCTTCAGTTTGTTGTTGCTGTTATTATTATCATTAATCTTAAGAGTGATAATTTGATCTATCATTTGTACAAGGAGAAATTAATATATTGATAGCAACTCAAGTTGAGGTCTGTCAAAGTCGAAAGAAGGTACTGGCTAATTTTTTTGTATTTATTTAGTATTTTATTTTCCCCCAGTTGCATGTAAAAACAATTTTTGACATTTGTTTTTTAAAACTTTGAGTTTTAAATTCTCTCCCTTCCTCCCTCCCCACCCCCCTCATTGAGAAGGCAAGCAATTTGATATAGGTTACACATGTGTAGTCATGCAAAACATATCCATAATAGTCATGTTGTGAAAGAAAACACAGACCAAAAAAACCCAAGAAAAATAAAGTTTAAAAAAATATGCTTCAGTTTGTGTTCAGACACCATCAGTTCTTTCTCCTGGCTAATTTTTTTTAAAAAAAATTGCTCAGGACAGTGTTTCCATGCAACTGCACTGGTTCGAAAGTTTTTTTTTTTAATCCTACTTGCACTTTTAAAGAGTACTTGCTACTGCCTCATGGAAGTGAAGGAACATTTATTAAGCACCTATTATGTGTCAGGCACAGTGCCAAGTATTTTACAAATGTTATCACATTATCTCACAAAATAATAACACTCATTGCTTTGAAATTGCACTACATGATTTGCTAAATAATAAAAAACCTACTTAAAATAGGTATATGTATATTGTTAAATGCAAATTCTAACTTAAAAAAAAAGAGATGGTTCCAGTAATTCCTTTGACTTCATGTAGTCTTGAGGTAGTTACAATAATGCTCAGTTATTTAGTTCTTGTAGTTATAGCTGTAGGATGACATGAAGTTTCTGTTGAAAAATATAAAAGAAAAAAATATTGAACCAAAACAAGAATGCTGTCTTGCACAAATTAGTTCAATGGTAAATGCCTGTCACGTGCAGACCACAAGGTATTTGGAGAAATATTAAGATAAATAGGATGCCCTTTACCCTCAGTTTTGTAAAGCATACAATCTAACAGGGGATACAAAACATGCAGAAATAAGAGTAAATGGAAATGGAACCAAATGAGAACCTAAGAGAAGTACAAACTAAAGTCTGAAAGGGAAAGATAATTAATTACTCATTTGGAGGCATTAATAATAATAGTAATAAAAGTAGCCAATATTTATATGGCATGTACTGTATACCAGGCCCTATTCTAAATGCTTTACAATGATCTCGTTTGATCCTTATAACTTTGGGAGATAGGTGCTATTATTATCCCCATTTACATATGGAGAAACTGAGGCAAACAGTGTGACTTGCCCAAGGCCACACAGCTAGTAAATGTTTGAGTCTGAATTTGAACTTCCTGACTTCAGACCCCATGCCTTATCCACTGCACCACCTAGAAGCATCAGGGAAGATTTCATTGAGGAGAAGGCATTTGAACCAAATCTTGAAAGATTAAGTACCAAGGTTCCATGATCTCAAACATAGGCATGACTGAGAGAATAGGAAAGGGTTTGAA